CCACTGTAAAGAGTTAGTTCAGGTCACAAAACTCGAAACACTTGAGTAGCTCTCTTACTCCTGATGTTTGATTCTTCAAAACCTTAAATAACACATGGGAATATTGAGCACAGGGCACCCATATGCCATTTTTCTAGGTCTGGCAGGTAGCTTGGCTTTTGCCTCCAAATCCATGGGTGAGGTATCTGTAAATCCATCAGGAACCTTACCCATTCAAAGTGCATGGGGGTGTGACTGCCTATGGAAATGCTGGAGCTTTGGGAAGGTGTAGGAGTGCTAATCTCATGAGGTCTTCAGATTTGGAATCATCATTTGAGGAGGAAAATCTTGGTCAATCATGACAGGTACATAAATCACACATGACAGGCATATTTGGGACATGGAATTGTGAATTGTGATGGTCACTACTAATTAGACTTTGCTGTTGTGTGATTTCAAGTTGTTTTTGACTTATGGTGACTTTAAGGTGACTCTTTCATGGGGTTTTCTGGGACTGAGAGTGTGTGTCTCACCCAAAGTCACCTAGTAAGTTTCCATGGCCAAGCAGGGATTCAAACCCTGATCTCCAGAGTCATAATCCTATGCTCAAACCACTATGCTATGCTGGCTTTCACTAATTAGGTTACCTAATAATGCTTCAGAAATGCTTTGAACATTATCTCAATCAACTACATATTCCTCACATTATAATATCTAATAATGTCACTCCATTAGCATGAAGCTTTCATTGCTTGCAGTTTTCAACCTTGCTCAGTTTTCAGATCCAGTGCTTGGATTCCACTTTTGTTTGACAATACATTTGATTGCATTCATCTGGGTATTTCTTTAGTTGACTTTGCATAACTACTAGGGCCAGTTTCACCTGCACTTTGGTAACTAATGTTGGATATAATCCATTTGCTAGTGGCAGAGTGTGGGGAAGATTTTCCTGGGTATAAAATATTGTAGTTCAAGTGTTAGAAAATGCATTAATAATCTCTTAAATGGGAAAACCTGAACAGCTTGCACAGTAGAATATTCTTTATTTTGTATCTCTTCCCCTCCTGATTTGGAAAACTGTCTCCAGGCTGGATTTTTTTTTTAAAAGGGAAAGGGCAGGTCCTAACTTGAGCACTTTCACAGAATGGTAACACATGTAAAAAGGGCAGAATTCTTGTACCTTTAATAGTTCTATAGAAGAGGGACTTTCAGTTATGACCCTTTTATACTACACAATTATAGCATTGTATTCTACTTTTAACTGTCATGACAATATCCCATCAAATAATAGGATTTGTTGTTTAGGGAAGTACTAATGGAACTCTCTGGCTAAGAATTTTAAATACCTCTCCCTAAAGTGCAGGAGAGCTGGCATAGCATAGTGGTTTGAACGAGACCATGGTTTGATTCCCAGCTTGGCCATAAAATCCACTGGGTGACATTGCCCATTGCCTCATGAAAAGGCAATGGGAAACCTCCTGTAAACAAACCTTGCCAAGAATCCTGTGATAGGTTTGCCTTAGGTTCACCATACGTCGGAAATGACTTGAAAGCACACAACAGCAACAAAAGCGCACATCTCTGGATTCCATAGATGCTGCCATAACAGTTAAAGTGGAATATAATGTAATATAATGCATTTCCCACACAATTATCAAAAGTATAGGTTGCTTGTCCTCTTTTTCATTTGACCACCCTACATCACCATCCCTTTCTCTGCTGGTGCTCCTATTAAGTAATGTGAAAGGAGTGCTGGGTGGATCTGGAAGAGCTCTTGCTACCTGTTCTGCCTTACTGGGGCTTCTGCCTGCAGCAAGGTGCTCTGGGGATGAGAGTAATGTGTTCAGACCTGTTTGACAGAAACAAACATATTTGGGCTTGACTCATGGAAGTTTGCAAACAACAGGAAGAGAAACTAATTGATTTGCATGTTCTGGTTTAAGAAACAGCAATTAAAAGAAGAAATTAACTACATGCTACAGGGGGGCTTCTTGCTAGTTTGGACTTAAGTGGATATGCATGTGTGTGTGCATGCAGCAACAAAAAATGGGTTTGCTATTATTGTTTCACTACTATTACTCTTACACAGAAGTATCCTGTCCCATTGCTGTGTGAAAACTTTTGAGAGCTTCTGTCACCTGAGCCAGAGGTGGGGGACCTTTGACCCTCCAAATGTTTAGGACTATAACTCTCATAGTTTCTTTGCATTGGCCATGCTGCATGAGGCTTTTGAGAGTTGAGGGGAAAAGCTTCCACATACTTGATGCAGATAGTCAAACCAGCTAAAGGTGCAGGGTGGAAAGGATGAATGAAATAATAATAATAATAATAATAATAATAATAATAATAATAATAATAATAATAATAATAATACTTAATACCCCACCTATTGGAAAACCAATCCAGGCGGCTTACAAATTAAAATCAAATACAAACCCCACACAGTCCCTCCCCCTTTAAAACAGTATTAAATCACAACAGCTTAAAAACAATATAACAATTAAAACTTAAAATTAAACAATGCAATAGACACTCCACTATGGCCCATAGCAGTGTTCCTGTCCATCCAAGATGGGGCCACATAATATCCTAGTTTTATAAGTTTATATTGTGTGTGTGTGTGTGTGTGTGTGTTGCATGCCTTCAAGTCGTTTCCGACTTATGGCAACTTTAAGGAGAACCTGTCATGGGGTTTTCTTGGCAAGATTTGTCCAGAGGAGATTTGCCATTGCTTTCCCCTGAGGCAGAGAGAGTGTGACATGCCCAAGGTCATCCAGTAGGTTTCATGGCCGAGCTGGGAATTGAACCCTTGTCTCCAGAATCATAGTCCAGCACTCAGACCACTATGCCATGCTGATACCAGTACAACCCTCATATCCATGGGAGATATGTTCTTGGACCTTGCACAGATATGTGAAACCATGGATAGTAGCAAGCCCCAGATAGAGCAAAATGGAGAAGGAGGGAGTCAGTTACCTCCTGGTTCCTCTGTCTCTGCCTGCCTGCATATCTGCCTTTCTGCCTTTTTCCCTTCCCTCCTTCCTGGCGAGCCTTGGATAGTTCCTCATGTACCCTTCTCCATCCTTGCTGGTCATAGGATAAGGAGTTTGACAATGGAAGATGCTGCTTGGAGGATAGTGGAGTCTCCTTTGGAGGTTTTTAAACAGAGGCTGGATGGCCATCTGCCAGGGGTGCTTTGATTGTGAGTTCCTGCATGGCAGGGGTTGGACTGGATGGCCCTTGTGGTCTCTTCCAACTCTATGATTCTGTGAAGATGGGAGTTGCCACCTCCTACTTTGTGCAACAGCCAGACAGACAGCAGTGTCTGCCTCAGCCGCGCTCAGTTCACCACCACTTCTGCCTCTGTTTGTCTCTTGGAGGTGGCAGCTACACTGGAGTGTGCAATAACAAAAGGAAAGAAGGCCAGCTGGCTGGCTGCTTGATTGCTACTTCCTTTAGGAGACGCCTTGGGAGAGTACAGCACCTGACACCAGGAGATGTACATGGCTTTGTGCAGCCAGGCCCTCTGTGTATCTCTCAGCTGAGAAGCACAAACCAGAGGCAGTGGTAGAGGCAGTGGCTGAAGCAGATGCTTCTGGTTGCTGTACAAAGCAGGGGGTAATGGCAGAGCCCCATTCTCCTTGTCCTATGATGGGTGAGAATGGAGAGGGGTACATAGGGGAAAGGAAGAAAGGAACCAGACATTGGTGCTGCTTCCCTCCCTCCCTTGCCACTTCGCATTAGAAAAAGGCAAGGAAGGACTCTTGTGGCAGCCATGTATCAGAGGTAAGTGAAACCATAGGGACCAGTCCCATGGATATTGGGGTTGTATTGTACATATGAAGGAAAGGAGTGCACTAACCAAGCCAAAGGGCAGTTTTCCTCAGCTGTCAATCTGTTGCACACTTTCTACTATGATTATACTCCAAGGATATTAGTAATAGAAAAGATGGAATGAAGAAAATCATGACAAAAGACCATAACATTTATGGAATTGGACCAGAACTGAAGATTATGAATTTTCTGGTCAGTATAGTCAACCCTCAATGTCATTGTTTAGATCCTAAAGGTTTAACATGGGCAAGGGAAAATTGCTCTGTTTATTAAACTGTTTTGAATTTGTAACAAACCTTTGGGTGGAGGTGTTTGCAGAATCATTTCCAGATAAGTAGGACTAGATGCAGCCATCTCTTTAGACTAGGTTCCCCTATACTGGTGTTGATGTTGAACACATGACCCATCATCTGTAGCCAGCAAGACCAGAGGTATCACATTGGGAAAGACTGCTTTAGATGCTGTATAAACAAGGTTTAATTTAAACAAGGATCTAAGAATCCTTCAGGACTTCTTCTGAACCCCCTATAAGAAATGCATTTTAAAAATACCATGGAAAAGAAAGAGGAAAATATTTTTGACAGTGTGAAGAAAAATTATAATGTTGCTCTTGACATAGGCTGCATGAATTTTGCAGTGGTTGCTTTAATCCCTGTGATTATTCTTCACTTCATTATCCCAAACCAAGGACAAAGTTAATGCTTGCCCATTTATAGACCTTGTGACCCTGCATGTGCATATATGCATACATATAATATATGTATTTGCACAAAATGTTTTCATATTCTCAGATTGGGTCATGGTGGTGGAGAGAGCTGGTTGCTGCTAGGTGTACTGTTTAAAGATTTTCTTATGACTCAACTGAAATGATTAAAATACTTCAGTGCTATTTAGCACCTCATGCCTAGAAAAAGGCCTAAGGTGTAGATGCACTGCATGTTTATATCATGAATTACATTTCACCCTTACATAAAAAACAAAAGAGTGAAGGACGTTATTCAAAGCATAAAAGCTAGTTTACAGTGTGTGTGTGTGTGTGTGTATACACACACACACACATAGAGAGAGATTGTAATCCTATATTTAGCTACTGTAGAAGTCCTGCTACTTCAAAGTAGATGAATTTTTCCTTCCTATTAAACCATGAGCATGGGTCAGTAACTTTTTTAAAAATGCAGTTTTTCCCCTTAGTTTTTTTAAAAAAGAAAATACCACAATAAATCAGTGCAATCTGTTAACATTCTAAATGTGTTCTTTCCAAATTTTGTACTAACACAATTTTCTTATCCATTCAAAACCTTAAGTACTCCATTCAACTTGTCCTGAATAAACTGCAGTGTTTGGAAAACATGCAGAATGTACTGACAGCTAGAAACACCTAAAATAACAAGAGAATAGGACAGTTGCCCAAAATACATGGCAGGTAGCAAATGGACATTTGACTTTTTGTGCCCACATGTTTTAACCAAAATTAAGGTAGCTTTTAGATTGCAAATTTTCTGGAGCTAAGAATCCATCTTTAAAATAATAACAATAATGCCACTGCCTAAGATCTATATTAATAGCTTTCAAAAAATTGCAGATTTAAAAGTGGATATTACAAAGTTGTCAGATCTGTGTATACATTTGATGCATAACTGTGAATATCAACTATCCAATAATGCTATTTTTGTTGTAAACTGCTGTCAAGTCAACATTGACATATGGCAACCAGATGAATGAGATACCCCCAAGTCACCCTATCATCAACCACCCTACTCAGGTCTTGCAGACTCAGGGCTGTGACTTCCTTGAT